GACGTACAGAGATCAAATTAAAATACATTAATACATTATTCATATTATGTCCTAAAATGATAAAAATGAAATTAAAAAAGTATTTTAAAGAGGATGAGAGCAGATGAGCATTGYTATAAACTTCCTGTGTAGCGTTCAGTGAAAAAAAATTTCTTTAACAGAAAAAAACTGATCCTAAGTGATATGGAAGAACAAAAATCTGCTTTATGTAAAACACTGGTTACTGCCAGCTTTTTGTCCCAGAGTTTCCACATCAGAGATATTTTTTATCTCGTTTAAAAAAGGGACAGCCTTTAAAACCTCTGAAATAATGAAGACAAAGAAACACTATGGCACACAGTTCACTGTCTGACAGAACTCTGTAAATGCTGGTAGAGGTGAAACTAGTGGTTTTGCTCGACAGTAAGTCCAGATTATTAGCTACAGACAATCTAGTAGAAACGTTGATGCGCAGCAGCATTTACAAATCAACCTCACTCTGGATTGCACCTTTGGAAAACAACTTAAAAACCAGATAAAGTGACTCATCTAAAAAAAATCCCAAATTATTGCTTCACTTTCCCCCACCAACAGTCAACTGTTGTCTCCCAGAMAAAGCAGTCCCACTAAATCAATAAATTCAAACTTAAACAGAGCAAATTAAGCACTGATACATGAATACACCGTCCTATGACTCAACAACTTAACATATTTAAGACTGATTTAAAGTCAGATAAAAGTTAGAATTCAAACATTGCTCAGGACAGTCAGTTCCTGTTAAAAACAAACATGAACATCAGATGGTATCAAAGGCAGAGAAGTGCATCGATGCTGCATGYAAAGGTAGAACAGTCCCTTTTATCAAAAGCGACAGTGTCTTTTCAAGAAGATGCAATTCCTTCCGAGTCCAAATTATCTGAGTGAGAACGGTTTGTCACGCAGAACAAGTTCAGCTGGAGGTTGAGATGGAGGAAGAGAGGATGTTGGGAGTGYTTAGTCTTTATATCAAATATACTGAGGTTTGAATATGGTCAAAGTCTTGCATCTTGAAGTCAAGGTGAAAGTAAGATTTGTTGGGGGAAAAAAAAAGGGATGCAAGATTCAGGCAGTCTGACCTGGAATATTTACCTCACGGATCTGATTGAGAAGAAAAGCAGAAAATCAATAAGCAGAATGCAAAAAATAAACCTGTTAYAAATGAATGGAAATGGTGCACCTCTGAAACGGCACACCTGCTCAATGCATGTTCAAGGAATCTGAGGTTTTTTTTTTTTTTTTGAGGCCCTGTGCTCATCTACCTTGTGGTAGCTGGCTGGACGTGGCCTGGGTAGGAGCGGCGTGAGCTGGTGGCTTGTCTCTGGCGGGCCAGGAAGGACTGACCAGAGCCGGTGTTGGCAAGTCTGTCTTCAGCCGCCTTCTTCTGCATAGACATGCCCTGGAAAAATTAAACATACAGGAGAATTTAAATATGTTTAGTACAACTGATGAAAAGCAAAAGATCTAAAACAAACAGGAGGCTTTAAACAAAAACTAATATAATGTTTTAGAAATATTGTCTGTGGTGCCTTGAGGTTAACTCTGATTCAATACAAAGGATCATGTACAGAAAAAAWTTTAAAAAATCCTTATTTGGTGTTTTGATTGAGGTGCTGGCAAGCCAGGTTTAACAAGTCATTCCAACAAGTTTTATGTGTTTGATTTGGTTGAGAATCAACCTTTCAAAAGTCACAGCATATCTTATAGTCCATTTTTATATTACTCTGACAACTTAATGTGCCTTAGTTGACTTTGGATGGAAGCAGAGTCAGCCTGGAAGGAATGACACTCATCAGAATAGAAATGGCTCATRGTGGGGGGGAAAAGGCAATCAGTCAAAACAATCTTGTGTAAAACCTTTGTATTAGGGAGCGGGTGAACTCAAATCATGCCAGCGAAGCACATAGTTCACTCTTTTTCTGTCTCCAAAATGAACTTTATAAAKTGTGTTTTAATGTTACAGAGCAGCCTGTGCTGCCCTCTAGTGGTTAACTTAGTTATCACTGTTTTATATTTGAATTTGATTCAAATTATTTTAGTTTAGTTCCAGGCCCGTATCGTTTTCTTACCATGTTGTACCAGGCTGAAACAATTAATCTCTCCTCGTGATCTCTCTGGCTCTTTGCCTTGTCCATTTCTTTCTGTGTTAAGGAAACGAACCCAGAAAAAAGACAACATTTTTTTTAAAGAAATGGTGATTTATATGACAACTGATGGAATCAATTTCTTGAATTTATATGACCGCTCCCCCTTTTTTTTTTGTACCTCCAGTGAATGCAACATTCTTTCCTTCTCCTGTAACTGGTTTTTCAAAGCTTGGACTTCGGGACCTGAGCCCTGGTTCTGCTTTGGGTCCAGAGTCCTAATAACCTGTAAGAAAAAAAAAAAAGATTGTTTGATTGTTTACATTTAAATGACGCCAACTTCTCTGGCTACAATACGTATTGCCAAATTATTTAAAAGAAATATTTCACTCACACTTTTGGCTTTTTCAAGATATTTCTTGTATCTGTCCTCCATCTGTTTCATCTCTTCATCCTTTTTTTTCAAAGCCTCTTCTAGCTCGTCCACTCGTTGGGCTAACGGGGGAAAGAAAACGTTTAGCTGGGTCTACRTTGCCTCTGCAAAGAGTGAAACCTTTTTTGTGTCTGTGCAGCAAAATTTCAAAGTGAACAGTTAGAATGTACATCCAATGTACGACCAATGCCAGTGCTGTATTTTGTCATTTTAAAGAAAATGATCCTGATCTGGACCACAAATTGCTGGGTTCTTCCTGCCTACATTTCAAGCTTGATGAGATTTGGCTCGCTAGTTTTCACAGACAAAGCGCAGTGATCACATTTCTCCTCCTCAGCTTTGGTCTCGACGGAGGAATGGTGGTAAAAACAAGCAGCAGGAGAGGATGAAGGTCAACAGACATTCAGCATTTGCTCAGAACTCACAGCTGGCGTTGTATTTCGGCTCCATTTCATCGATTAGAGCGTTTTTCTTCAGTAACTCGTTGTTCACTTCTCGTAATTTTTCCCTAAAATAAAAAAAAGGTTTAATTACAAAAAATGTTTGACCTAAATTGGCTCGATTTTACGTAATTAAAATTAACTTGGTAATATAAAAAAACATCCAGATGACATAAAAACAAACCTTACTGGTGTTACATGCTACACTTACATGTGTTCATCATATTTCTTCTTTAGAACAGAAGACTGGAGAAGACAAAGAAAAATTATTTTACAACACATACTACTTTCATAAACAGTCCCAGTCATTTTGAAATGTTAGAAATACACAAACGTAAAATTATGAATTTCCATAAACAACCACCAGAGGGCAGTGTGAAATCAAATTTTTTAAGCGTGAAAATAGTTTTGTGATTAAAAAAAAGAGAGAAAAAAGAAATTTTAAATTTTCAATTTTGTACGACCCAGACAAAGAAAGTGATGTGCTCTGCCATCCTGGAACGGCTGGTTGATTTGAATTTGTGCAACGTGTTTATTATAAACATTTCAACTAGTTTTAGGAGAAAAAAAAAGTGTTTATTAACTTACATCATCTGCTTTAGAACCCTGTTCTTGGACAGTCTTTTGGAGCTCCTCTACTTGACTCTGTTCCTCCATCAAGCGTTGATTGGTTAGTCTAAATAAAACAATCAAAATGCTTTGAGAGCTTAGAGGCATGGACACAATAAAAATAAATTTTTGTGTAGAAATAAATGGGTCACGATCCACACTCGAACACTGGGGAGAAGTGCTTCTCTTGTATCCAAACAAATTAAAACAAACTAAGCAAATTTTTGTTTTTGCCCCTTTTGTGCTAGAGTTCTGATAAAAAAAAGTTAGTTTTATGGTTAGCTAGTGCCAAAAGAGTACATCGCCATTATTTCATGTGTCTGTGTGCTCTGTACTGACCTGTTTTCTGTCTCCAGTTCACTCTGTCTTCTGTTGGCATCTTCCAGCAGACTCTGCAACAGCGCGATCTTCTCGTTATCAGAGCCCTCCTGGGCCAGCTTCAGCATCTTGTTCTCATGCTGAAGACGAATCAAATGTTCTCTGTAGAAGCACAATGACCAAAACAAAGCAAGGGATCAATTCAGAGCACAGCTTGCAGATAAAGTGATCACGTTTTTAAAAAAGCTAAAACATTACAGCCAAAATAATTTTGTTTAATTCATAGCAGGAGACAGGAGGAACAGTAGACTAAGCAAATTGCAGACAGAAAATAAGAACAAACTTAAAACAATCAATAGACACAAATGTGCACGACTTACTAAAATACAAACATATGCTACATCAGCCCTGCTAAATCTTATTTCCATCTTCAAAAGCTCTCAGGATGTGGCATCARTCCACAGAACAATGTGTTTTGATCGGTTCTGCCTTGTAGGTAATGAGTTTCCTGGACTTTGGTAACTCTAATCTGTATTTTCCCAAAAGCAGCTTTTTGAAGATTAAGATTTCACTCTAAYTTCAAAAGTGGCCTAAAAATAATTTGGGTGTTTTATGTAGCTAAAAATAATCAACTCCGTCCTCTTGAAAACTGTTGTCAACTCACACAGTTGCACAAATGATATTGTAAAACTCACAGGCTAACATAAATCTGATTAAAGTTTTTCACTGTTTTTATATTATTTTCCAAACTGGTCAAGTATGCCCCTCTAAGAGTCAGCCACTACTTAACTAGAACTTGCCCAGTGGTTAATAGGTTTCAAATGTGGTGCCAAGTTATCACTAAGTCTGGAAATAGGTAAGAAAGAAGAGCTGGGAGTCTCGTGGGGTGTCTTGTACAGGTGGATCAGGGACATTAGAAGTGTGAAGTGGAGGCTGGTCTGCCTTCATATTTAAATGTCTAAGTGTCTAATATTCATGTGAACGCCAGGAGGCAGGTTTGAGCATCACAGCTGCTCATTTCCCCACAGTGCATCCCATGTCCAGATAAATGCCAAGCAAACCAGAAAACCTGCATGCAGAAGTCATTTACAAAATATATAACATAGAACACAATACTCAAAAAATCACGAGTTCATTTACCGAATTTCAGGAGTGGTGATCTCAGCAGCCAGTGAATCAGAGCCATCATTGCTGCCCAGCGGGAACAAACCTGGAGCAACAGAGAACAMATGTTAACCACAGTCATTTTAGTCCAGGAAAATGTCAAGTTCACTGTATCGTTTTATGACCGAGACATTTTTCTTTTACTTGATGTCAGTTGTCCCTCTTGAGCCTGGACGCAGTGCAGTTCCTCAATAGTCTCCTTCAATGAGTCTCTCTCTGTCCTCATCCGCTGCAAGGGAGACAARGTTAAACATTTGGGAATGTTGGGCGAAGATGTTAACAAAGAAATAGAAAACAACACTAGAACCTTTTTATGTATTATCTGGCAATAGGTATAAAGGTGCATACATCTTTTTCTTTTTGCAGAGAGTCAACTTTCTCTTTGAGACGTTTGTACTCAAACTCCATCTTGTCTGCCTTTTTAGACTCTTCTGATAGTCTGTTTTGAAGTTCAACCACCTGTGCAGAAAGAAGGCAGTAAAAAAAGTACATCACTTTTCAAAGTATACAACACCTATAGCATTTTACTACATACCCAACAAGATTGTGTTACACAGTACAGTAAGAGGAARAGCAAATGTCTGCATGCTAACATGATGGCTGCCGGTCAGGTACCTGTCTCTTGTAAGTCTCCAGCTGACCTTTGGTAGCGTTGGCTTTTCGAAGCTCTTCTTCCAAGCTGACATTGGTCTGCATTAAGACTGTGTTCTTTTCTTCCTGAAGTTTAATCTGGATCACAGGAAAAGTGATGTTAGACTGATTTATTTCAGCTGTCTTGCAAGGACGCACCATTTACATTACCTTTTCAGTTTGCATGAAAGGGCTGAGCGTGTGTTTGCAGTCTGAGAAACCTCAACTAACTGTCACAACAAAGATATCAGTCGATATGTGACCGTGTACCTGTCTCCTGAGGAGCCCCATGTCTTCCAGTTTTTTCTTGTAGTGCTCCACTGTGCCCTCCAGTTTTGACACTTTGTCAGACGAGTGCCTAACAAAATAAAAATAACAAAAAGCAAACAAATACCGTATTTATTCATGTATAATACGATCTTGAGTATAATACGATCATTTTTTTGAGCTTAAAAAGCATTAAAAATGTAATTATCTTGATTATATAACACCCCCCACCCCACCCACACACACACACACACACACACACACACACA